TAGCAGTTTTCTCAGTGTTATATACAATGTCATTACCCCATCGAAGGAAACGGGGCCTTCTGTCAGGGTACTTCGGGAGATGAATGGAAGTGTGCTCCAGGAACCAAACCTGCATAAAATTGAGATATTCTCAGTAAGTTTTAGCAAATCAATCAGCCAAATTAAATGTTTAATTAGAATTGTTTTAGCACTCACAATTAGCAGTGGCACAAATCCATTGACATAACTCGCTGGCCTGTCCTTTAAGATCTTCAAAGATAACATTATTAAAATCTTCAACCAGGCATTCCCAAATTGACCATGCCCAGTTAATTGATGAAAAATCCTCATCATTATTTGCTATTGTCTTTAACATCTTAAGAACTTTAAAGTTGCTTTGTTGGAAAAATAAATTATAGCATAAATATATAATAAAAGTTTTCAACATAGTATGTGGGGCGCTTTCTCGAGTCAACTCAAGCATTTCACTCTTAATATCCTTTGAAGTGATTGTTGAAGTGGGCAAGGTCATCCAGGTAATCTCCTCACCTCTGTTTGGTAGACCAGTAAGGAGGGCCACTTCATCAGCTGTGAAAGGTAAAACATGGCCCTCTATAATAAAGCTTTGCTTTTTAATATTCCACATTGTCAGCAGCTGGTAGATTAGTGGGGCGTTTTGCGCAAATCCAGGAAAATGAAGAAATTGGTAAATATTCAGGTCCTTCAATTTTTCTTCAATTTCAACAGGAATTATCTCGGAAAAAGTATCACATATTTTTCTAAATGTCGAAACATAGCATCTATAAGATATAAGACGGACGTAAATCTGCGTAAAATAAGAAACTATAATTAATTTAGAGTTTTTTTGTTTCTTCAGCAAATGCGCATTGAATACCAAAGATATCCGTAGTTCATTTTATGTCAATGTAAGAATTTACGCACATTTCTCTTTGCAGATGAATCCTCCATGATGAGCAAAAGAGATTGCTGGATTTTTTCAGAAGAATTTTTTTGCAGGAAGCTCAGGAGTACTGGAGCGAATGGCCGAAATGTGGAATTTCGAAACTGTTAAAATTTTCCGCCTTTTTTATTGTATTTACTGGGCGGGCCTTCGGTCTTTTCGTCTGTAGTAGGTCCGAAATGACAAACGGGTTGGGCCTTACTTTCCACGTAGACACGCCATGCGTAATGAATTTATTCGCGGCCGAACACATCTATGTGATCGGATTCCACACATAATAATTTCTCCCACACAAGAGCTCGTTCTCTTTTTTAATTTCACTAACGAGGGAAAGAGTCGCGGCCAGCTGGTGACGAGAAAATAGATTGACGGGATTAGAACATGCAAATTAATGTGAATTTGAATTTTGTCCTCATTTGTCACGTGTCATTTTGTAAAAAAAAAAAATCTTAGGTTAATGCCATACTAATGCTTTAGTCATTCACGCATTAATTTAACATGACAAAGATGTATCAATCAGTCAAAGGTTGCCTCGATTTGCATGCAATTTTCTCGTTTTGCATGTTGATTGTCTCGTTTAATGTGTCAAATTCGTCGAATATCGAAATTAGACAAATTAATAGTGGAATTACAGTATTGCCGATGTTCCAAACACAACGATGCAATCTATTTCACAATCGGACGTCGTTTGAGCAGTGCCGAGAGTAATTTTTAAATGGGTCCGCCTCGATTTGCATGCACAACCTCAATTAAACGAATTGGTAGTGCATTTAGGGTATTTCTGGTATTCTGAATACAATGACGCAGTCCGTTTCATGATTGGACTTCATTTGAGCAGCTTGAGGGTAATTTTTTCATAGGGATTGCCTCGATTTACGTGCACAACCTCAATAGAACAAATTGATAGTGCATTTAGGATATTTTCGGTGTTCCGAACACAACGATGCAGTCCGTTCGTCAATCTGACGTCGTTTGGGTAGAGTCGGGCAAGCTTTTCTTGAAATTTGTGCTTTACCTCGAAATGCGTGTTGACCTCGCATGCTTTAATTTGAATAAATTGGATGTCACCCTTAGGTATTTAGGATATTTTGAACGCAGTGGCGAAGTTCGTTTCGCGATCAGACTTTGTTTCCCCAACGCTAAGGCCAATTTTCTCAATATACGTGTTTTATCTTGAAATTTGTGCCACCAATTAGGATGATCCAAATTGAACGTAGAAGATGTAGTTTTTGAGTATTCACAATATTCCGGTCATAATGGCGAAATCGATTCGTCGATTCAACGTCGTTTGATCAGTTTCGCACTTTAATTTCGAGTGTCGGTCATCTCTTTTGACCGATCTAATCCGATTCAATTGCGACGGGCATCAACCTAGCAAAATTCGATATCCTGATCGCAACAACGGTGTTCATTTTACAATCGGAGATCATATGACCCTTCAAGTGATGCGTTGTATCAACTCGCGCGTTGCTCAATCCGCCACCTTTGTCCATTTTGTGCGTAGTTTAAGTTATAGGGGTCAACACTAGTGTATACACCAGACAGAAGCCTGGGTCCGCCCCGAGTTCTGTTTGCCCTTCTTGGGGTGAGGTCCACATACTAATAAGGAGAGAGGAGGGGGCGGGTGAGAGGAAAATTTGAATTGAGAGGGTTGTTTTGGTATTTTACTTTGAATTATATACTTTTAATAGTTTGTTTTACCCTAGGGTTAGGGTTATGCTTGATTTTGGCTGGAATTAGTTTGTGCTTAGAGAATTTTGGGTTATAGTTGGCGGCTAGGGTTTGGGAGAGTCAGATCTTTCCTCTCCAATTGAAGATCCTTGTATCTTATTGCTTTTCTTTCATATTTCTTGCAATAAAAGTGATTCATGGTCTGTTCTTCTTCCAATTTTCGCTCGTGGTGCATTGTTTTGGGTTAAAAGCTCTCCTATTTCCTACCAATCTAATACATCTAGTCTCCTAACCAAGTCATCGGAAGGCCAGCATTTAATGTAACCAAACCATCTAAGGTGACTCTCTTTAATCTTATATGCTATGGAGCTAATCCAACCTTTTCACGTATATACTTGTTCTGCATTCTATCTCCAAGCGTAAAGCCACTCATCCACCTGAGCATCCTCATCTCTGCAATACTTAATTTTATGTTTCTCTTTTAATGACCGACATTTAATTTTCCATATTCAATCTTAGAATATTTAAACGTTCTAGTTATCTTTTATTAATCATAAGTCAAATACCTTGAAAACTTTTTATTACTGTTCTAACTTTTCACTTATTTCAAAAATACCTCGCCAATAAGAACAATCATTTTCCAAAAACACAAATCAAGGAACATCATTTTAAAATCCTTCGCAAGCATGTTCACAAGTAGCACAAAAAAAAAAGACATAGGCTCTAAGGGTCCATTTTGCAAAGCTGTATTCGGAAAAGTAAGAGGAAGAAAATGTCCGATTATATGAAAACTTAAATTAGCTCCACTCCCACCACCCCCCAAAAAAATTAAGAATTCAATAAATTTTCTCTTTCTTATCTACTTAATTCATTAATTAAGTATTTTAATTATCTATATATTAATCAAGATTATTATATTTATGATAATTATATGAAGTACATAATAATATATTTTTAGATCATTCAATGAACTCATGATATAGTTGTAGACATTTTTACCAAATAGCCATAACGATTACAGCACTTTAGATAACGTCCATAACATAATTTTATCAAATAATCAACTATTTGACTTGACAAAATAGCATAACATAATACAGTGTAGCAAAAGAGAAGAGTGCAATTCAAAACCTTAATGTCGAGTAAGAACTCCTTGATCATTCGACAACTACTTTTAATATTAATCAAAAGCTCTATTAGTTTTGTATTTAATAACTTAAAATATACCTTTGACACATTTTTTATCTTGCTGCACATTGAATCAATTATTGTTGTACTTAATCACATGTCTGCTCTAGATTAATAAAATATAATATGAAGCTTGTTGCTTTACATTATTTTTTCATTAATTGCCTTAGTATAGAAATCATGTCCATCGTAGATCATCTTTGTATAAAATCAAATTATTTCTCTAATAATGCATAAATTTTACAAGACAATTTTAGCACTCTCTCCTACAACTTTTTCAAATAACCCAAGTTTAATCTTTTTGACTCTCATAATATTCTCCTATATCTAAAATATTGATACCAAAATATTTTTCTCTAGCTATTTGGTTTTTTTTTTTAATTTTTTATTAAAAAAGATTATTAATCAAAGTTAAATATTATCTATAATTCTTCAAATCACAATAGGGATCTACAATGGACCCAAAAAGGTGCATTTATGCATCCTATTTAAAGCTAACTCCATTCCAAATTTTTGGGTCGATCTAAATAATACCTCATTATTTTGTTCATCGAACTATTCCAAAAAAAAATCTTTCTTAAAACTCTCATATATCAATTTCTCAAATTGGCATTTTTGCTATTTAATGACTTAATCAAATTTAACTAAAAAATTATTATAATAACTTCTAATGCATATAACTTGATCAAATTTTTTTCTTTCTTTCTTAACTCAGTATTTTACATACCTTTTTAATTTTGCACCCTTAATACTTAGCCTGCGATTGAAGGCTCTTTTTTTTCAACTTTTTGGTTGCTGCTAAGTCCTATACAGGGGTATCTAATTTGGAAATTTCGGCAAATTATTTGTCAAAAACTTTGCCTAGAAAAGCTGCATTAGAGTAAGAATTTCAAATTGCTTCAAAAAATTTATTGACAGTAGTTTCACAACCTACTCTGTAAATGTAGTAAGCCTAGCCAAAAAGCTTTAAATCATCACAAGGTGTAGCTTTTACTTTGCTCATTATCCTCTATATGAATTCTAACTTTCTTATAGCCAATGTATGTCTCAATGGTATTTATTTTTGCACATATACACATCATCTTATGAAATGAAAAAAATTTATATTTTTATTTATATGAACCCACGTTAATTTTCAAGATAAATGTGCCAACAGCACCAACAAGAGAGGGAAGTCACTGGATGTCAACAAGGTACTCACCTCTTCGTCATGTATCATTGGCGTCAAGATAGGAGGAGCAGCATCTGGATCAGACTTTTGAAAGACAAATATGGCATATAAACCTGAGAAAAAAAGAATGACGAGTTGGAACAGCCATGCTTTGAAGCAGGTAGAATGAAAATTATTCAAGGAAGAAAAAAATCACCTAATATATCAAATGAGCGGGCAAGAAGCTTTCCACGGGGGTCCAAAAAGTTTGCACCATAGCTGCAAAGCATCCCTGCAAATTGAGCTCTGAGGAATATTTTGAAAGCGCTTTAGAATTTGTTCATGCACCAAGAGTCAAAAGTATATTCAAATAAATAAGTCTGGGAAACCTCCCATCCATGCTAGAAAAAAGAAAAAAAAAATGTATGAAGTCACTTATTTTTTATGATTAACATAAACTTATTAGTGTGCGACTTAACTGCTATGCTTTAACAACTCTATCGGACAAAGATTCTTCTCCTAGTCTCAATAGTCTTATATATACAAGGAAACATAAAAAAAAATGGAAACAGATAATCAATCTTATGCAAAGAAACATAGAAGTCCACAAACAAATACTTCCATTGACAATTAATAGACAAAATTAATTGGCTCTAACAAAAAATAGGGAAGAGTTGCCTATATCGAACTCTTTTCGAAGGGTGAATGTCAAAATATTTCTAAATTGAGTTTGTTCAAAGAGAACATATGTCCACTGAATTAATTTCACATTCAAGCTACAAACTTCTTAATGAGATGACACTGATATAATTGCAAAGATCCAAGAAAATGGTGAGTTCTTATGTAGTACACGGTTATGAATGTAAATCTCCATCTATAGGCAGTTAGGCATAACAATGAATTTTCAAGAATACAAAACACCCTCAACTAGGATTTTAATGAGATGAATTTTACCAGTTTCTGAGGCTCCCACGTGTGTTTATTCATAAGCGCTTACATGAGATCCCAATGAAAAATGTTTGCATATGGAATTTATTATTCCTAATGCAAACCTTGAATATTCCATTGGCAAGAGACGGTAAGCATATTCTGTAGAAGTTAACGAAGAAACTACTTAAGCTCATAGAATTGATACAACAACAACAACATCAAGCCTTTATTCCACTACGTGGGGTCAACTACATAAATCATTTTTCTCCATAATGTCCTGTTAAGAGACAAATTCTCTGATACGCCAAGAGGGGCCACTTGGCCGGCCTAGACCAACCCAACCAGGCTAAACCAACCAAGGGGTTGGGCAAAACCAAGGGTAGTAGGAGGGGGTTAGGCAATACTTGTGGGGCCCAAGAGAGTTAGTATTCACTAAGAAAAGAAGAGGAATCAAGGGGGAGCTATTTAAGAAGGTTCTTAATCAAGAGGGAGCTGTTTAGAAAGGTTCTTAATTAAGAGGGATCCTTTTAGGAATGTTCCTAATCAAGTGTGAGTTGTTTAAGAAGGTTCATAATCAAGGGAGAGCTGTTTAGGAAAGTTTTTAATCAAGAGAAAATTGTTTAGAAAAGTTCCTAATTAAGAAGAAGCTATTTAGGAAGGTCCCTAATCAAGGGAGAGCTGTTTAGGAAGGTTCCTAATGAAGGGAGAGCTATTTAGGAATGTTCCTAATCAAGAGGGAGTCATTTAGGAAGGTTTTAATTGTCTTTATACTGTTATGAAGGGTTTAATTGTGTGTTAGGGCTTTTTAAGGGAGAACTTTGTCTAGGGTTTGAATCTTATGTTTTGCGGAAGTTTATTCTAGGGTTTGTTGTGACTTTTCTAGTGGCATCTAAGGTTTGTGGGAAAGCTGATCTACCTCTCGAATAGTAGATCACTTGTATCTTTATTTACTGTTGAAGAGATAATCCAAAAATGAGTCTCAATATTTGTATTCCCGCATTTTCTTCTTCTATAGTTTGCTGTTTTTACTTCCAAGATGCATCATTCTCATTTAAATCTAATAAATAAATGTCATTTCTAATCTTTTCTAAACAAGCCTTTTTAAGTCTACTTCTATCTTTCTTAATATAAGCCAAACCTAATACATCTACTCTCCTAACTGGGTCATAATACTTTTTTGGTTAATGATACCTAAAAGCAGCCTTATAAAGGAATCAAGCTGAGGCTTTCTATTAGTACGTAGAAATGAAAGAGGAAAGGTAATCATTTATTTAGCCTCTTTTTTTAGTCAGGCTTGTTGAATTTTGAGCTTAAATAAGGAATACTTCCATTATCAACAACAAATACAAACAGCTTCCGCAGTAAGAAGAAATAATTGACCAAATCATAGATCAGTGAGTTTCTTACGGATGCATACGATTCTTGTCTACCTTAGAACTTCCTTAATCCATCTAAATTCATATTAAAGCCCATTAAAACGTACCTCTTTATCTGCTTGTTTTTTTGCTGGATCAGTACTATACCGACACCACATAAGCCAAGAACACAACTTCATTCTCTAAATGTCCCCATCAGGATTATATCCTACATAGTAAGCTCATACCTAGCGTTTTGAGAATTCAACCAGACTGGTTGGTTCATCAATGAACCAGTCAAATAGTCAATCCGGCCAAGTTTGAAAACCGGATTCGCATTTAACCAACTCAAACCGATTTGACCAGAAAATTGTTGAACCAACCCCGTTCACAAAATATTAAAATTTGGTTTTACTAAAATTTTTAATAGTATATTTTTGTTTCATCATAATTTTAAAATTTTTAAAAATTTTATTTAAAAATATATGCATACAATTCAATAAGAATACATGGTTGTTAAATCACATAGCTTGGCTTGTTACTAGTGGCTTGTGCTTTATATTACATAAATACAATTACTTAAAACTCTCCTATGATGTTGGAATATAAAAAATTATGTGAATACTAGGCGGTGAAATAGGAATGGGCTGCTAGAATGAGTATTTATAAAAGTTAAGAATGTAAACTTTTTTTAGTAATAATTTTATATATTACATTAAATATTATTTTTATTAAAAATTCTTTTTTTTATACATTTATATTATAACTTTTAAATTTTTTTTTTATATTTATAA